TTTCAATGCATCTTTATCTGAGCAAATTATATTCATTTTTTTTAAATGTCATTTTCCAGGGATCAAAAAAAATCAAAAAGATTTCAGTGGTGGAAAGGACATTGAGTGTGTTGTCAAATTCACACATATCTTGTCCATTTATGGCATTCACAGCATCATAACGAAGTGGTTCCTTATGTATCTCTGTCTCAGATATCTGCAGTTGTTATGAGATGGTAGTTGTCATTCTTGTCATGATGTTTTGATTCATGTACATTTTGGGAATATGGTCTGCTTGGTTTTCAATCCTTTTTTTATTTATATTAATGAAAAATAAAATTATCTATGATAATTATGATCATCAAAAAAAAAAAAAAAAAAAAAAAAATGGAAAGTGTAAATTCATGTCAATTTTCCACTTTTAAAACAAAATAAAAAATCCTCATTCTGATTGGAAACTTGTTCATAGCTTTTTCACTGGCAGTTTTATATTTGTAAAAAATCACAAGGAGGTAAATCTAGATTGAAAGTCTACTGATATAATGAATAATGCAATGTTTGGCTAAAGCCTCCATTCAAAACATTCTGTTTTGACTCACTATAGTCATTGGGAAAAGTCAAAGTTATCAATACCCATGTTGCTTAATATTGTCTCATCTTTGTTTCTCTTTGAATAACTGCTAGCATGGAGTATGTTTTGTACTGTAACAGGCAGAAAATTGCCCTTCTATTGGCTGTTAAATTACATCAAAGCCACCAAAAAACAATAGCCCCTATAATCCCAATGTTTCAGTGAGAATTTTTTGTGACAATAAAATATTCAACTGTTAGGATTGGAGATTCTCTTAATCACTGATAAGTTGTGTATAAAATTTCCAACTGGAGACAATAAAAGTAGCCAGTACTTACCTGGATGCATTGTTTATTTATACTGCAAGAAAATCTTTTTCTTTGAAAAGACAGCTGATTTGACTTTCAAAAGAAACAGATTTAATACTTTTTGGTGTATTTAGAAGAAAAGATTATGTGAACAGTAATGCATGTATAGCAATAGAGCCCACTGCAGAAGTTATTCTACTGCAGTTGATCTTTTCACCAGTTCAAGCCATAAACTTCATGAAAAAATATATGTTGTTTTGACTATTTTTCAGTTCCTGAACTTTTTAGGACACACCATACCACTTCCATTTGGTTGAATAACCCTTATTTCCTCCATATTCTAAATATAAGAAAAGATTCCACTCTGACACCAAGAACTGCCATTTTCTGGAACAGGCTCCCACGTGAATGCTTTCCTGAACACTACAGTCTTAGACTTTTCAAGAAAGAGTTATCTATTCTCATTACCTTCATAATATTCACTTCCTCTTTTGTGAACACTCACCTTGTTCTTCATTACCATTTTAATTGTAATCCTCTACTTTTGGCCTTTGAAAAGCCTTGTATTGAATAAAATGTAGTAAAAATAAAATAAAATAAAGTTTCTACCTGTTCACTTTTTCAACAAGGCCTTCAAATCCACCTCTTGAGGTCTGGTGATTTAGTAAAATATTCCCATTTCTATGGGGTTTAGGTACACCACTGATTTTCTGTTACCCTGGAACAATGCTGAATTATCCATTTTAGTCCAAACCAGCAAAAGTTATGTAATAAAAATTCACTAATAGTTCTGACTTACTAATTGCAGGCATTATAATCTCATATTACTAACAGGATTATTCAACTGTTAAAACTAACATTAAACTATTATTAAATGTCAAAATAAATATATGGCATATTTCTATAATTTTCTTTTTAAAATCATTTCATAAGAATAAAGCAAGGCAATTTTAATAAGAAAAAGGGCTTATCAGATGTTTATCTTTTTTTTAAAAAAAAACAGACAAAATTTTGAAGACTAAACTTGAACAGGAAAACAAAAGAAATTAGAAGATAGTTCAATTTAAATATTTCAAACTGGAACAAGAAAAAAACTATTATCATAGAACTTAGGGTTTCACATCCAGCCTTGTCAACTATAAAAGGCCTGTGAGTCTTTAAATATCGTTTTCAGTTAATAGTTTATATATATATATGCCATAGAATATAATATATTTATCATATATGGAATGTTTCTGGGGAAAAGCAATGAGGAAAGATAAAAATTTTGAAGGTAATTTTAATCCTTTGATCACACATGAGATGAAATTTTTTTTAGAAAGACAAATGCTGGCATTGACTAAACTATTGACCAGACTATATCCATTTTATATAATAAATCAAATTAGCTATATATATATAGGTCTTCAAAGGTTGAATTAACCTGTTTATATAAATATTAAAATCAAGTAATTTGGGGTCAACAGTTTATTACTTAATAGAAAACATGTGATTCGTCAAAGTGTAAACCAACTTAAAATTATTTATAACATCAATCTACATAAGATATAAGGAATTTGTTCAAGGATTTATTTTACATATTATTAACAGTAGAGCCCGGCATTGCCCGGGATGTAACAGTAAGAGATAGATCAAGTATCGACCATCATAAAGACTGAAAAATAAAATTGACAAAGATTATTGTTTAAGGTTGACGGACACGCATGTCTTAATTAGTTTTTTTTTTTTTTTTTTTTTTACGAATTGGTCAAACCCAAACTGAAACAAAAACATTGTTTTCAATTGTTATGGATCTACCGATTAAATAGAATTTTATTATAAACAATTGTCTTGTAAATGGAATTTTTAAAGCATTCTGAATGTAAAAATAAAGAAAAAAGTGTGCAAGACAATAAGAAACACTACCTGCAAAAAAAAAAAAAAGTGAAGTTTTGTTGAAATCGGTTGAAAAATGTAGGAAATCCCATATATAAATGAACACACACACACACACAAACAACCTGGGTTTTATAATAAGTATAACTCGATATGAGTTGTCCCCCTTTCATTCTCGTGATGCCTCTTAATCGTGTTTTCAAATTGATTTCGTGCAAAAACAATAGTGTTTTTCCAATTTTTGGCGCTGTTAGAACCATCGCAAGGTAATTTTTACGTAGCCCTGTGAAGTTTTGTTGAAATCGGTTGAAAAATGTAGGAAATCCAATCCAATATATAAATGTACAGACACACACACATACATACATACATACAACCCATACAATCAATTAAAAAGCAAAAAAATCATCATCCTTGGTAATAGCTAAAAGTATAGCTGAAAGTGCTCAGAATTACAGAACATTTGGACAGTTTTTACACAAACTTTGTGTACAGAAAAGAAAACATTTGTTCAAACACAAGAAAAATTAAATAAAAAGCTTAATTGCAGTACCTTGTCTGTCATCTTTTATGAAACATATAATATATACACTCACACACACACATATATATTATGAATTGAAGTCCGACAATTATTTTAATATATTTTATGTTTATACATTATTTATATAGATACAATTATTTAAGTAAATGTTCTGTTTATAATAAACAGTATTAATTACATTTACCAGATTGATTGTCTGAAAATTTTCATAGACAATATGTTTCCTCCGACAGGAATCAAACCTGTGTCCTATACTGAACCATCCTGCCAGATCAAATGACGGTTCTGTGTATATATGCACATATACACACACATATATATATATATATATATATATATTTATACACAATAGCATTTAACCTAGCTGCTGTGGAGGTCCCTTGATTGGGCTTTCATCCTTCATCACAATAGTTAGGGAGGAGTATATGCGATAGGTAACAATAAACTACAGAACTCAAAATTGATTGCTGCATTTAAGTACTGCATTAATATTAAACTTACCTTTTAAAAGTTCAACAATAATTCTTCTGCCGCCACTTTATTTAAAGACAATTAAATGTATGTAGATCCTCACTTTCTGCACAAACAATTATTTTTATTTCATGCGTGAATTTCGCTGGATACAATAATTAATTTTGAATATTTCCAATTGATTTCCAAGTTAAAAATTGTTATCGAACAAAAAATTCCCCAAAACAATTGCAGTAATGAAAACTTGAGAATTCAAAATTTCAGGATTGTGGATCTGGATCTGGCCCAGAATGTTTTTAATTTGCTCATTGAGTCCTTCTGAATCCATAATGGTTTGATATGTTGGGCTACGGCCTCTAGGAGTAAAGTTAAAAAAGTGTGACACAGTGACACATTGACATTGGTATTTATTATATAGGAGGAGATGAGCTATTGAGAGTTGTATCCCTTTAATTGAAAAAAGTGTGACACACTGACATTCAGTCAGTTATGTGCCATGCATGATACATGCATAGGCAATCATTTATCTTTCAATATATGACTGATGAGGCAGATTTTTCTTGCAGTAGGTTACCATCCAAGGCTATAGAAACTAGTTTGTCCTGGTATTTACCCATAGCTGGGGAAAGAAAAAGAGGACTCATACCTTTTCCAAGGGTATTAGCACATAAGTGAATGTAATGGATTCAACTGACATTGGCATTTATTATATAGAAGATGAGCTAATGAGAGTTGTGCCTCTTTGATTGAAAAAGAGTGTGATGCAGTGACACTGGCATTTATTATATATATACACATATATAGTACACATACATACACACACACACATATATATATATATATATATATATATATAAATAATCCGAAGTTCTTTAGTATTTTTGTTTTTATTTAAAAAAAAAGTACTTGATACAAAAGTAGAGTCTAAATTATAATTATTTTAAGGCATCATATTTTTTAAAAATAATTATTATATATATATATATATATATATATATATATATTACTCAAAGGTGCACTTAACATCCATGTTCAACCTCTTTGAAATCCTTAATAAGTTTGATTTAAAATTATTTCTGGCAATCATATAAATTATCTTTGTAAATATACAAAAATAATGTTACGTAAGTGTTTTGAAAACTATTCTGTGACAAATGAAATAATCTCTTATTTCATTTGTCACTTGGGATGGTTTTTTTCAAAAAGTTGAAATGCTTTCAAGGTATTGAGAAATAACAGAATAAAGTTTTACCCTTTCTAGGTGTTTAATAACAGTTTTCATAAGATGCTTGGCTATGGTGTGTTCCCCTCGTTCCCAGAGTAACATGGACTCTTCCACACCTATTTGTAATGATATGGATTCATCCATTTTGTGTCCATCTTTAAGACTCTTTAATAAATGTAAAGATCTTTCAGCAACCTGGAAAAGACAAAAAGAATTAAAAACAAACTAGTGTCATAAAATACTTTTGCTTATATGGTGTAGATTTATTGAAAACAATGCATGAACATTTAAAAAAAAAAAATCAATAAAGATCTTTCCAAAAACTTTTGATAAACCATAAAACAGAGAGAAATTTGATAGGAACAGTAAAGTGAACAAATAAAACATATAAGAAAGACCAACTGTACAAAGTGTTCACCTTGCCGGTGTACAGTGGTTAACAAGTGAGGCTAGCAGATCATTAATAGTGTAGTGATTTCAATCTTCAGTAGGTGGATTTATAAGTTTGTAAGTTAACTCATTAATAGTCTACCCATCGTCCATGTATTGAACATTGCTGTTACATCTAGTCTGGTGCTACTGCTATATATTTAGAGATTCTAGATAAAATATAAAGAATTGACAATTTTATCAGTCATCTTGGATTCAGTCACTATCCCTTCCCCATAATGTATCTTCCCTGTGCCTTTTCTATAAATATTTTCATGGTAATTATTCTGATGAGCTTTCTTCTTTGGTCCCTAGACTTTATGAATTTAAATGCAGTACTAGATTGGTGGCAAGGTCTCATTTTACAATTGAATTGGCTAGATGTAACTAAGTTCTATGCTAACAGTTTCTTCTCTCACACGTTTTCTTTGTGGAACTCCCTTTCAGCTTTTTAATTCCAAGTTAACTTTATCTTCAAAAATGTAAATACAATGTCAATCGCCATCTTCTGTCTTCTTAAATTCTTTTCTTTTATTGTTCACTCTCCTTAATAATGTTTTCTTTTTTGCATATTCTCTCACACTCAGTAACTACTTGCATCATAGTGGATGTATTGCCTTTTCACTAAAAAAAAAAATAGAAAAAAAAACCAAGGTGCTCTATATACTTGTAGCCTAAGGACATGCAAAGCAAAGCTTAGTATTCAATAATATTTTGAATTCAAGCCTCAATGTGTGTCTTGTTATAATGGCAGACTTTATGATACTTCTAGAGAATGCATAACCTTGCTTATGGGTGAACTGAAACTTTATAAGCTGTGAGATTTTAAGCATTTACATAATTTGTTTGGATTCATCTTATTTTTAATGTAAGATTTTGGCCAATAATTTCTCAAGTGTTCTTCAGATGTGTTCTTCCATAATCTTTGAGTCTTGTAAAATTTTCTCTTTTTTTTTTTTTTTTATCAATTCCCAGTTCTGATTATCAAAGATTCATATTGCAATTGAAAATATTCTACAACTACAAGCGCACTAACTGCAAATGTATTAAACCCAATAGAGGAGAACACTGAAAACCTCTCAACTAAGTTCGCTTATCAAAATCTGATCAAATGACTAAAAAGAAAATATTTTGGAAATGCTTCTTGGTTGGGTCAAGAACTTTTCAATACTTTTTGTAAGTCTGACATGGCAAGTAGAATAATAACAGAGTAGATTCAAATAATGAAATATTCAATATTCACTCAGATTCAAATCTATGGCTATTGTTTAGCCTTGTAAGATTAAGCATTACATGTGACTGAGAAGCTATTCTTGGAAATTAATTTGATTTAGTTTATTTGAAGTTTGTTTTGGTAAAATTTTGATAAACAGGAAACTTAAATGTTTTAAAAATAGAACAGGTAAAAATTCCCAAATGTTCTGGATTGGTTTGAGAAAGGTTATCTTTTTCAGCTTGGGGTTGTTTTCATAAAATGATATAAATTCAAAGATAGAATTGCAGGAACCATACTGACTGAATATCATAATTTCTTCAAAGTAATTAGAAAACAGAAAACTGCAAAAAAAAGCCTGTATTTATCAATCCACTATCTGAAGAGTGTATAGAGTCATACTGTGTAAGCAAGTGGTTATTGACATAATTTTCATATATTTGTGAGCAGACTAAGTAAGTACACAGTAGAAAATAGAATGCTCAGCAGTAGAGATAGACTGTAGACCTTGTAGCATTTTCAAATGAACCACCCAACTCAAGCCAAGCCAAGCCAAGCCAAGGTGAAGCATGAACTCTGATAAATAGCACCAAATAGAAGTCTCTCCATCAAATGCAGAAAAATTATAATCCAACTTATAAGACAACAAATTTCTTTGTTAGTATTTTTTTCAATCTTACTTCCATTCAGCTAACTAGGTGTCTAACAGAAATGTGTGGGTGGGTGGGTTTATATTTTTCTGAGAAAATCTTTTGAACTTCCTCAACCACTGAGCTAATTAAGATCACTATCTTTATTAAATGTGCCCCCCCTCCCAACCACAAGCTCGAACAGGAAACAGTAACTATTAAATTATTAGAGTTGCTTCAAATTTTTATTTGCATGCTTTTATGATTGTAGTGTTTAGGAAATTGTATTCCATTTTTGTGTTCTTTTTTTATTTGTTCCTGAATTCTATTCTTTGATAAATATTTAAAAAAAAGTTTCATGGAAATTCTAAAATTTTGACCCTTTAGATGATTTTCTAACCATTCCTTGTTTATTGCAAATTAAGAAAATTCTTATCCCCTGTTTTAAGCACCTAATATTCAGTCAGTTATGTGCCATGCATGATACACACTTAGTCGATCATGTATCTTTCGATACATGACTGACAAGGCAGATATTTTTCCCCGCAGTAAGTTGCCACATCTTTCTGTGGTAGACCAGTTGCTATCCAAGGCTATAGAACCTAGTCTGTCCTGCTATTGAAACATAGCTGTGGGAGAAGAAGATTCATATCTTTCCCAAGGGTATTAGCATGTAAATGAAGGTAATGGATTTGACAGGAATTTGAACACAGATCTCTGATTCCTCAATCAGAGCCGCTATCCATTACTCCACCATGCCTCCACCTAAGAGTACATTTTGTAAATAATGAATAAAAAGCATTTTCTTCATTAAGATGAGAATTTTTCTCATGCTCCTCCTTATCTCATGACCTGAATTAGATTATCTCACAATGACTAATCCTGAGACTAAAATGTGCAGTACACTGATCAATAAAAAGTAAACTTCTAAAATCAACAGCTTAACAAAAAACAGAATGTGTGACTAGATCTACAACCAATTATAGAAGAATGGTTCATGTAAATCATTTTGTGTAAATAATGACAACACCAAGAAATGATGATAGAGGTAAGAAGAAGGATTTATATATCAGAGATTTACACAACAAAAATGAAGTTACTAATTCAAATAATCCATGGAATAATGTTTTCTCAGAATTTCTGGCAATTATTCTTTTGTTGTCATTGTAGGGATACAAAAGGTGATTATCTCCCTTTAGTCACTAGGGTCATGTGACAAAAAGTGAGTGACAAAAACCAGTTGTGATGTAAAGCGTGGAGAAGGACATCCCTAGCCCACAGCAGTAGGTCTTACAGTGAAAACTACATGGCCCCAACAGGTTCATAGAGAAACTGCTGTACCTTGAAATATTACAAGATTCACTTTTCACACTGCTTGCTGTTGTCGACATATGATATAATTTCTCCATGTGGGGATACATATAAATATGTGTTTATAACTGTATATATGACTTAGTGGTATAAAACTCTTCTTGAGAACAAAGCATGTATGTCCTTCCTTTTCTCCCAGTTATTCCATTCCATCTGTTATTATATTTTAGTATAATAATACCCATAATGGAGAAATGCAACTTGGGAATAAACATTTCTTCCACAACTCACCCATTACCATATATGAATTTGTTAATTAGACATTCCTTAATTCAACTTTCATTTCTCATAACCTATCCACTTTATGCCAGAAAAAGTTTGGGGAAAAACACTATAATCAAAAAATAATTTACCATTTTCTCACTAAATCTCATAAGATAATTCAAATTGGTTTTCATTTTTTCTATGTAATCTGTTCATGAATTAGCAAAAATCAACTGAAAAAACTTTCATGATATAAAAACAGATTAGAAGCATTTGTAATAAATAAATGCATACCTCATATTTTCTGGCCTTTCGAGCTGCCTTGATTAATTGTTTGTATTGTGTGCACAGACCTAACAACTCAACAGAGTTGTGCTTCTGATCCAAGCCTTTCAGATGTTCTGACAGCAATAAGCATTGCAGCTTATGGATTGGTTCCACATACTCAAAGTCGGCATTCCAGAGTTGTAACTGCAAATTCCACTTCTCTAGAATGTCTTTCATGTCACCTCTGCAAATAAAAATGAATGAAACTGAGAGAATAAGAAATAAAAAAGGAAGAATATTTTGTCATGGTTGAGGGAAAATTCTTTTTCCTATTTTATGTTAAAATGGAAAACACGCCTTCCATCCCATAATAGTTGTAACATGTAGTGTATAAAACTGTGTAAGCAATTGTATTATGGGACAGAGATATTTATAATTAGTCATAGTTGCTCAGGAATTAAGTATTTATAGCTTTTATTATATATATATATATATATATATACACACACACACACACAAGTATAGGATTGGTGCCTACAGAAAAAATTCCAATAACCAGCAAATACTATTCTTAAAAGAGTGCTCAATACAGAGTAGAGCAAATATAATTATTTATTTGAAAATTATAACATAAATATGTTATAAAATCACATATTTATGTTATAATTTTCAAATGAATAATTATAGATGCTGATTTTTGGAGTGTTTTCAGAAACATAACACAGAATTTGATCTTAGAGAAAATTCTCCAAACAAAAATAGGCAATCTTTAACTTTCGTGCCAGCAATAAAATGGGGTGTCAAAAAGGATGGTTTTTCCCTTGAGTTGGTTATTATTTTAACTACCTTCAATCCCTCAGTAATGTCTCTCATTTTAAAAAGTGAGGATTAGAATTTTACTAAAACCACAAAATATTAAAGTGAATTTATACATTTTCTTTGAGAATATTAACTTCTATTTATTTATTAGATTGCTTATTTACAAGAATAATTTTATATTTACAACATTCATCATTTGAATAAGAAAATTAAAAAATGAAAAGAAAAATGGCTGTTTTGTTTTTTGTGGAGCTCATCTCTCAAAAGCTTTTATTTAAATAGATTAAATCAAGAAACAAATATAATGCATAGTTAGTAACATTATAAAAAGAACTATCATGTAAAATGTATCCTCATATTATATTACAGGTATACTTTGGGTTATGTCGTTTTGAGTTAAGTCGTTCTCAATTATATGTCATTTGTTAAAAAAAATGTATGGAAAAATAAAAATCAAGTTTGTCATTTTATTCAACTTTATGTCTGTCCACCACAAATATTGAAGTCATAAAAAGAAATCACTAGAAAAGCATTAAAAGCACATAAAATCATGTTACTGTACAATGAATAATAATAAAAGTATATAAAATCTTATTGAAATACGTACATTTACGGTAAATGTTAATATAATCATCATAAATCGTAGAGAACAAAATCTGAAAACATCTATGACTGTGTTGCTGTCTTATTTAGTGTTTGTCTTTAAGCGCTCAATATTGGCGTTTTCCACGATAGTTCCAATATCTACCGCTTAGCTCAGTGGTAAAACTTAAGAGCAGAAACTATAAAATGGTTGAATGGACAAGACATTAAAAACAGAACCAAGAAATACTGGTTGCAAACTGCTAAGGCATTAACAGAAAATTACCCTGAATCCCATCATCTTGAGGTTAACCTATAACTCATAATTAGAACAGTAGAATTAAGAATGTAATGTGATTCACTTTTTCTATAATTGTCACTGAAGTATTAAAATCAGACTGCTTTATCACTTGTCAATAATGACGGAAACCAACTGTATATGCATGAACTCTATAACACAAGTCAAGCAAAGTATCTTTTCGGAGCATATTGGTCAGCTAGTGTTTCTTTTAGACCACAGAAATGAGATCTTGAAACTAAATCTGAGTAAGTGAATATAAAATGTGAAGCTCTATCATTATTATGTTATATATCAATATTATATGATATCATATATCAATCTATCAAAGGTTTCATTTCATAATGATTAGTTTTGTATTTGTAAATTTCTTGTTATCCAATCAAGATACTCTGTGTATCCTTGTCCAATGCTCACCTGTCCAGGTGCAAAATATGTGAAAGTTGAGAGAGACTTGTTAGTTGGCTGAGAGCCTGGTACAAAGGACTGCAACTTTCCAGGCTGTTTACTCGAAGACTTTGCATCACACTCAATCTGCAGATTTTAAAAAGAAAAATGAGAAAAACTTCAAATACATAATGGATTTCAGAATAAGATTTCCTTTTTTTTTTTTTTTTCCATTCTCTTAAATTTTTTTATTCTAATTTTTTGCATTATAAAAGTGACAAATATATAGCAAGGTTAATTTACAATTTCAGTTTTAATTTCTGGCAAATTTAAAATGACAGAAAGTAGGTACTATATTTGATAATATATAACCCTCCATCAAAAAAAAAAAAAAAGGATCAAAAACTATTCCCAAATGTGAAGTTAAGGTATTAAGAGTCAAATATTTAATCACACACGACAAGGACGTGCCTCGAGTTCTATCCTCTGTGATAAGTGATGTTTGCTATAATAAACTTATCTAAAAGCTCAGATTAGTAAACAACAAGATTATTTGTCATTTATTGTAAAATTATTTATTTTAAAAATCATTGCTACTACAACTACTACTACTACAACTAGTAATAGTAGATCTATTATAGGTATTTAAATTAAAGCTAAGATGAAAATGTTTGTACCCAACTCTAAAAAGTTAAGTAATCGTTTTTGAGCTTGTGAGTCTGTGTTATTGTCTATTTATGTTATCGCTTTCACATATTATTCTATAAGGAAATGAATTAGTTTTTAAAAGAAACTTTAAAGATTTTTTCCTCTATATTTTGATTACACATTTCAAAAACATTAAATGCTTACCTATATATGACACTAATTTTTTTCTTATACCATTATTTTTTTTTTTTACTTAAAAACAAAAAACTAATATCTATAAGGGATTTGAAAAGCTGCTTTAGATGAAATTTGGTCCCATTTAAAGAAAGTTATAAATTAGAAGGATCAATAGTAGTTTACTTACTTGGCTGCATGAGCTGCTTCAGTAGACAAATGAATTTGATTGCGAGACAAGTTAGCCATTGCAACATACAGAGATTGGTTGTATTTACAGTCACCATTAACACTGGAAAAAAAAAACATCATTGAATCTCTTAAAAGCATTGGAAATTTAAAAGTAATTCATTAGCTGATAGCATGGATAGAATTAATACTTTGAAGCACATATTTTTTTACACTTTAAGTCTATTTTTCAAGTGTTGTAGTTCTAATAGAACCTCATCTATAAAAGCAAACAGTGAAAGGTAAAAATCATCAGTTGTTTCATTTGCATTAATGCAAATGAAACAACTGACCTTTTTAAAAAATTAAACACCATACTGATAAAGGATAAATGTAACTTTCAAAAACATCAAAATATTAACAAAATGAACCACAATCATTTTGTTAATTCAATATTTATCTACAAGCATGCCTTTCACCATTACTTTTATCATTTGTGTTTTAAAATTGTCTGATGGACAATATTTTTATTACTGGTACTATGTATGAAAAAAAGAGAGAATGATTCTTTGTCTGTGTGTTCTTATCTGGTCATATGATTGGATAGACCAGTTACTTCACTCTCAATCAGCCTGAAACACCAACTGACACATTTCTCTCTCTTCATTTTGAATCACCCATGACTTTGCAACTCAAAATGGCTGCTTTTTATGGACTTTCTTAGCCCAATCTGACAGGATGATAAATCAGCAAAACCAAATCATTACTTTTATTTTTACAAGGCTTTCTTTGTTGACAAGTGTCTCTTAAAAATAAATAGCCTGAGTTTTTAGGTGTGAAAAGTTCTTCTCAAAATTCTTTTCTTTTTTGAGAAAAAAATTTCCTTAAAATCTACATAATTTCAGGTTTATGAAAACAACATTTTGCTTGGTCATCTTTTTTCCCTGGAATCAATCACCTGCTAAAGTGTACATCTGTTCTCGAAAGTTGGTAGCAGTTAGGTGCAGAGGTTTACCAGTTATATTCAATCTTACAGGTTTTTCTTACAGTAAATTTGAGTTCAATCTTGTGAGGATCTCAGATCCAAATTCACATATCAGATCAAATTAATCTTTTTAATAGTTCTTTTTCTTAACTGCATTTTGTTACAAGAAAAGTGAAACCCTTCTTCACTTTTCTTTGTGTCTTTATTCCACCAACCTAGGCCCAATGATAGTTAACCACCACAACCATCAGTTCTCTATGGCAGGGGTCACCAAGCTACAGCTGTCTCCGGCCCGTGATGTCAGTTCATCCAGCTCACCACCACATTGTGCCACAAATGAGCTAAAATATATTTATTTATATGGAATTATCAATAGATTGTAGTTAAACTTACTATGTAGAAATAATTAAAATAAATTAAAAATAAAAGTAAAAATGTCAAAATTTGGCTAATCTGATTTTTGAATCTGACAGTAATATAGGTTTTAGGAAAATCCCTGAAATAAAAAATTTGACGACTTTTTGTGACTTTTGATATCTGAGCACTTTTTCTGTAAGTACCTGCAGTGAAGTTTCTAAGAAAAGTGATTATGAACCTTTTGCAGTGATCATATTTTAACTTGTTTGCTGTGTTTAAACCCTTTCGAAGAGTGCCGTATATAAAGGACTGACTTCAGCGAATTAAGTCATATATTTTGCCTGAACTTATTATAAAATCTAAAGTATGTAAAATCAGCACATGCAATAGCAATTCTCTTGGTTGGATGCAGCAATTCAAAAGCAAATGTTGATTCTATATTAAAAGGTAAATGCCAGTTTCACAAATCTTATATATATATTCACACACACACACACACACACACACAAAGAGTCTTTGGTATTTTCAGTTCTTCAACCATCCTTAAGATAAAGTTGCAAAATTTTCTCTTTACATTGAGTTTTTCCACAACTCATCAAATCAAGGAATGCAAATGTATGATACATGTCCAATCTAGTGACTATTAAATTTTTCTATTTATAAATTTTCTTACTGTTAAAACAAAATGTGGAGGTGTTTCACTTTGAAAAATTGTTTACATCTGTTCAGCTGTGAAATGAACCATTCTTTAAGTATGGTCAAGTAAACATTAACACTTGTTTGGGTCGAGGTAGTGGGGTGAAATAACAACATGAGCCAGTAAGATCATAAAAATACAAAATTTTGCGCAGGAAAATACAAAGTATCAAATGATATACATAAATAAGATTTACAACTTACCGAGATGGAACATTTAAGTTCCACTGTCCTGCCTGCCATGCAGCTTCATAGCGTAATTCTTGAAGTTTTGAAGACATCAACAGACTATTAGCATTCTCCATGCTTCTTAAATATGTCTCCAGCACATGACTCAGCCCATATTTATGAAGAGCCTACAGACAAACAAGTAAAATGAACATTCCAGTCAAGAGAGACTTGGATTTTAATCTATTAATTCCAACATGAAGACAAAACACTGAGTGGCTCTATAACAGTATACAAATAAAATATTTCACTTTCGATCTTCCATAGTTGTGCTAGCCAGGTATTGTTTCCCATTATTTCATGAATTAATGAAAACAATTTATTTTTCAAATTGAGGATATTTTAATAATGTATATTTCTTCAGATTTATTAAGCACTAGTTAATTACATCAAAGTGAAAAAAAATAAAACTAAAATTGCATCTCCAAGCATTTATTGAAAGTAATTTTGCTTACAGAGATTGAACTTTTCAGCCACAGAATTTCCAAAGACAATTTTAGAAGTCATTTTCACTTTTTACACTCGAACAATTGATTTCATCATTGTTGCCATCACAATGTTTCCCCTGTTGGTTTGTGAATTTGGTGATATTGTAATTGTGAGTTCAATCCTTGGTGTATACTTGGATTCAGTGGAAACAGGGCAAGCAATAACTAGAAGTACTAAATAAAAATAAGAACTAGACAAGATATCCCTAGACATGGGCAGTGGAATGAGAACAGCCTATCCCATAGATTAAATAAAAGGTTCTGTTCAGAATTCTCTGTAGGTTACCTGGATTGGTATACAATTGATCAAGGCCAAAGTGTTGTGATAACAACAACAAAGATGAAGATAATCCAAATGTAAATAGTGTAAATAATGATAACTCCTTAACCCAGAAATTCAAACAGAAACCATTTTCATTAAAATAACAATAAAAACTTATTTTGATAATATAGCCATATGGCAACCATAGAAAATGTTTGTTTTAGGTTGAATTATGATGCCACTTATTTGAGTTCAACAGCAAAGCATTGTGGTAACGAAAATAGAGAGAAGTGATTGTTCCATCTATCAATAGATATTTTGATGCTGCTTCTCTATGCATATGAGTGGTTATGAGTTTAAGAGGGAAAAAATTACTATATTTGTAAATTAACTTAAAAACCACACTCCATGCGGACTTTTAAGCTAGCTCCTGTGGAGGGCTAATTTGACCTCCAGCCCAAAACCAAAGGGACCCCCGGTTTAGAGTAGAAAACAGCAGTGATAATTTGAAGAAATAAATTTGAATTCCTCAATTCACTCCATGGAACTTCAAAACCTCACTTTAATTTTGATTTGAGCGATAAGTCCAATTCTGGCCAAAAGACTGATTTAGGCCAAAAATTGAATTCTTCCAATCACAAATTCCATGGAACATCAATTGAGTTGAATTCTTCAAATCACAAACTCTGCAGAATTTCAAAACCTTATGTCATGTGACCTCTCACTTTAACTAATTCCTTGGCATTTTGAAGATATAAAATTGATTTTGTCAATTTACAAATTTTAGGAAATATTTTAAACTGAATTTAAAACAAAAATGTTTAAATTCACAAAGTTCTTGTTAAACTCAATATAAAATAACTAATTTTTATTCAGTTATTTTATTATTTGAATTTTTAACTGTTCCCTCCTGCTCTGGACACAAATCCCAATGCTGGATTTTCAATCATCAAATGAAGGGAAAATTTTCAATCCTGGGATTATCCTGATTCCAAAAAGGTATAATATGTCTATATAGAGCAAGTGTGGCCCAAGTTAGAGAGGTTTCAGACACACATACAGACAGACAAAATCTTCTGTTTATTTATTTAGAAGAATAGATAGTAATAACAATCAAAACTTGTAATGAAAGTAATAAATCTTTTATCATTCTCACTCTTTATTATTATGCTTCTATTTTTGGTACTCAAAGAGTTTTATACTGAGAAATATTTTTCCTCCCAATTCAAGAACTTTTATATAAAAACAGTATTCAATATTAGTATTCCTAACTTTTAAACAGTTGACACATTCTTTTTTTTTAAAGTACTGTTTATATGCAGATTTTTTTGGGAGATTTTAAATTCTAAAGTCTTTGCAAAAGTCCATATTAATTTTGAATCAAAAATTTGATTTATTTCTTATATAATTCAGTACAAATTCAGCCAGATGAGTGTATAAAAAGTATTTTGTCTATAAACTTTTCAGCACTAAATTTTACAAAAAGAATTCTTTCATTTTAGGATTTGTCACATTGTCCTATATTGGTTTTATATTAGATGTTTTTCTGTATGAATGTCTGGAATGAGGAATTATCATTATTTAAATTATTTACATGTAGACTATTTTCCTCACAACAATAACAAAGATGAGGGCAATAGTTTGCATGTAAATATTAGAACTGTATTTGCTTTTGGAAAGGCATTTTTTTTTAATTCAAGTTGTAATTATTCAAATTTTTCCAACAAAAATCATCCATCTTAATTTTTATTGAAATTATTGCTGGGTTTAAATGGCTTAAAAGAAATAACTGAAATAATTTTAACAATGAGATTCTGTTTAATTAAAACTGTATGAGAGTTACTTACATGAAGGATACCATGTTGCAAGGTAGGTGTTGGTTGGCTAAGAGCTATGTCATATGACACAGCAGCTCGTCCCCATTGGTTCTCATGCTCATATGTTTGAATCCTTTAAGGAAAAGGAGAAAGTTAAAAGAAAAATCTTCTTGTACTATTTTTCTTAGTAAAAGTAAATACAAAACAAAAGTTCAATTTTCATTTTTAATGTTATTAGATTTAGAATTTAAGCCATTGATGATGTTAAATGCTTCAGGTTGAAAAGCTCTAATGTATTTGTAATATCTGATTAAAAAAATAAAATTCTTGTTTTGGCAGAAAGATCATCCAACATTCTTCAATAATGATAGCATCTAAAACAAGAGTCTCAAACTCAAGGACAAAAAAGGTTTGCTGAGGGAGAGGGCCAGAAGCAGGCCTCTTGCCAAGGTATTACCAGTGGGAAGGGCATCAACTTCAGTGGCGGGGGCAGTAACTCCAGTGCAAGCTCACTGGTAGAAATGCATTTTCTCATATTAAAATTGGTTTACATCACATTCACAGATGAAGAGACTAAGCTTTTCCTAGTATGAGATGTCAAATTTATTTCTTATAAAATTAAAAAAGTGTGGTCAAGACACTGTCACAAAGTAAATTTATAACCTCTTGTCAGGTCGATGATGAAGAATACATGGTGGTGGGGTGATCAAGTTTTCATCCCTTCACTGAAGAGGAACTAGAACAGACATTGCTGACCTTAAAATTGATTGACTGTTTGCATTAGTTCAATACTGCTACTGCAAAAGTATGGAATTGGGTAAGTGAGAAATTTATTAAAAACTGGTCAAAATTTGAGGAAAATATTAGTCCTAAAATGGTTCCCCACAGGCTGCAGAAAGATTGTGGGCTGCATGTTTGAACCCCACTTCCGATCTAGAAGCAGTAATTGCATTAGACAAAAGGATGAAGGTAATTTGAAAATATATATTTTTAAGCAATCCATAAGTTTTTTTTAGATAATCTGTATTACAAATAAGGGAGATATAATAATTTAGATAATCTATATTACAAATAAGGGTGATATATTAATTTCTTTTACATTTTTCAATTTTTATTACTTCAATATCCAACAAAAAGTAAATGTAATCAAAAACTTTCAAGAAGATATGCCTAGGTATTGAAATATTAGCAAAATTTAAAGCTTATTTTTGTTAATGAAATACTTAATAACCAATCTTAATTCAACATAGTTTTCCATGAAATACATCTGTTTGATGCTTTGACACACATCATCAGTGATGTTTTTAGCTGAGATTCATTAGGAGTTTTGGTTGGGGCTTTCAACATCATACCCCCCTCTCCATGGTGACCCAGTCAATACTTATTGTGTATTGACTTGTGTACCATCTGTTAGCTACAACTTTCCTCATATTAACTCACACTCTGTGACTCCTCTTGGCAATTTATAGTTCAATCATGGATAACTTCCGGTTCACAAGCTTCTACACTCTTCCATAAAAAAAGGAAGCAAAGCTAGTAACGATTTGACTCTCATAAGAAATATGGCAACATATTTGATTTGAAGTGGTAAGTAACAATCTTTTGTTTCCCCTCACTGAAATTATATATATATATATATATATATATAGGAAGCATGTGTTCATTCAAGCATGTTTCATTAAATAATATAGACATATTGTGTCTATTTAAATAAATAGATATAATGTCTATATTATTTAATGAAACATCCTTGTGGGTGTGTGTGTATGTGTGCAGCAATCCCTCTCTTATACAAGTTTCATTAAAAACGACTGACAAGATACTGCGATTAAGCTTTTTATTTAATTTTTCTTGTGTTTGTATAAATATTTTCCTTTCTGGACATAAAATGTGTAAAATTGTCCAAATGTTCTGCATATCCAAGCGCTTTCTGCTACTCTTTTAGCCATTATCAAGGATGATTTTTATTTTTAACTGAATGTATTGATTTTTTATGTATGTATCTAGAGTTATAGGAATGTTTTATTTTCCAAACATGGTCAGCACATTGTGGTTGTATTCATAGTTGATGTTATTGATGTTGATTTTTTCTTTATTATTCTTAGTGCTTTCATTATTTTTAGTCCATTTTTTACATGTGGATATTTGTATTTTTTATAAGTATGTTTGCAGATGGAGTTTGGTAGGTTTCCATGTGTTTAAATGGATCCTAATTGAGTTAGAGAGGTGTAATGTGATATCTTAATATATAATAGGCATATATATATATATATATTAAAAGGAGGTTATCTGCTTTTGAGGTGGAGGAAGAGAAGAAACACAAGAGAAAAAAGTGAACACTATCACATGATGTTAAACTAGCAACATTGGCAGAATAAACAGAACAACAGGTCAAAGAAATTGAACAACAAAATGTTGAAATTTACAACAATTTAAGAAAAGAAATATAGCTCAAAAAAAAAATATTTGAAAAAAAAAATTTTTTAGAGAAAATTTCATTTTTTTCCTAATCAAATTTTGAAATGTATCAAAAGTGTTTCGACAGTCATTTAGTTGATTCGTTACTACAAAAATGACATACATTACTCAGTCAGAGGAAAACAATGCACATTTTGTCATAAGCTCAACCACTTTGAACGGATAATATTTAAAAAAAAATACACAGAAAAACTAATATTTTGGATTTCCAAAAGGATTGAAAGTGTGAAGTAATGCAAATGGAATCTGATTCTGGCAATAATGACAAATAGGAGACAAAAATCTAATGCAGTTATTTGCTTAGATGATCAAACCATTTCGGTTCTGATTGCTAGACTCAATATTAAATTAAAAAATTGTGAAAAGAAAATATTTATGTATATCTCAAGATTGTCCTTACACGATTAGAGAAAATTTTTGTTTCAAATGTTAATTATTTAGAGTTTCCACATAACATTTGCAGATTTTATTGTTGTCTGTTCATGTAATAGTCAAATATCCTGAAAAGAAAATATGCCAAACAATTAATACTCCTATCTATAATTTGCTGTTGTGATTTTCATATCTCTTCAGTATAAGGAACTATTAATATTTTAAATTTGCTTCAGCATTAAAAAGGACTGGACAGTTTGGAAAATGTCAAAATTAAATTTTGGTTTGATCAAAAATAAAACCATTGTGACAGGTGAAATTTCACTGTATTATATTTCAAGTTCTAAAAAATGTATTGAAAATGATGAAAGTTGTTGGTTTAGACATCATTTTGATCAGTTCCAAACTCCAATACAATGAAACCGTTTTAATTTTTTTTTTTTTTTAAATGTTTTTTTTTTATTTGAAGTCAAGATTATGTAGTTGATGTTTTGAAAACCTTAACAAAGAAATCACTTTTTGTCAAGTGTTCATTTTGAAAAATTTTCAAAAGGTTGTATGGTATTTAGAAAAATTGGCTTAAAACATGGATATCATCAGATTGAATTGAATGAGACATCTTATTATTACATTACTATCTTTAGTACCTATATTGTTTTGTTCCATTATAAAAAGGTTGGTACAAGGAACAACTTCAACATTTGAAGAATATCAAAATTGCATAAGTGAGTTGTTTAAACATCTCCAAAAAATGAATGAATCTTTCAGATGATATTTTAATTGGTGATGTACATCAAGAGGACCATGATTAAAATTTGAAGGCCTGCTTGAGAATTTTGCAAGAAAATAACCTTATGGCAAACTTTGAGAAATGTGAATTTAATGTTCCCAAAATCATGTTTTGGGGGCATAGTTTCTAATAAATGTATTCAACCTACTGAGAATAAAATTCCAACAATCAAATAATTCAAGGAACCTAGTTCAACTAAAGAACTTTATAGTTTTCTTGGACTGATAAATTATTTAGGTAAATTCATAAGGAATTTATCATTGGAAATGGAATTACTTAGAAAATTACTATGGAAGGGAGCAAAATGGATATGGACTGATGCTGAAAAGGAATCTTTTATTAAACTAAAAAATGCTGTCACAAATGATACTGTGATGGCTCATTTTAATCCAGACCTTAAGACTATCTTAATTGTAGGTGGTGGACCAATAGGACTTGGGGCCATTCTAGCCCAAAGATAAATAGATGATAGCATGCGACCTGTGGCTTATTTTAGTAGAACTCTCACAGAAGCACTGCTACAGTTAAACTGAAAGAGAAGCCTTAGGTGTTGTTTGGGGCAGTGAAAGATTTCACTTATACCTGTTTGTTTGTCATTTTGATATATTGTCAAGACCATGAAGCTTTTAAAATTTTGTACTATCATTGAATCCAGTCATTACCGCATATTTTAAGATGGGAATATGATTTATTTATGATCAAATACATTCCTGGACACTTGAACCTTATGGAAATAATATCTATTAAACAAGTTTGAATTAATAAAGAAAATTCCAGAAACCTACACACAACCCATACACCCAATTAAAAAGCAAAAATAAATCATCCTTGATAATGGCTAAAAAGTATAGCTGAAAGTTCTATCTTGAATTACAGAACATTTGGACATATAACACAATCTGTATCCAGAAAAGAAAAACACTTGTATGAACACAAAAAAAATTTGAAACAAAATTTAAATTAGAGTACCTTGTCTATAGTCTTTAATGAAACATACAATATATATTTATATATATATATATATATATATATACGGGGGAAACGACAGTGATCTGGGGAATCTGAAGAATACAGTATAAAAAAGAGGCCAACAAACAGCCGTAAAACAAAGGAAACCTACAAAACATTACCTACAGATCCCTTCCAGAATCAAAAAAAAATTAACTAGCTCAAAAAAACTAATTATATAAAAACAATTTAATCAAAAGGAAACATATAAGAAAACACTTACAACAAACATTACACCTTACATATATCAATTCAAAAATACAAAAAAGCAAAAAATCCAGGAATATAGCGAATTTCATTTATGTTCAACTGCCAATGACAAAAAAACCAATGAAATGAGACCATTTTAATAAAGGCTCCGCTAGCTAAGGAAGTAAAATCCTACATCAGAGACACAACGATCTGGTTGAACAAAATTAATCACATATAAACAGTACCAGAGAAAGCTATTCTAGTGATTATGGATGTTAGGTATTTATATTCAA